CGGCCGTGCCCCAGCAGCCCACTAGTGATGTGGGTATTGGAAGTCGTATTGTGCACTAAACACCAACGAAAAGGGGCAAAGTTTGGGCAACACTGATCTATAGGCATAATGAACCAGAAATTCAAGGAGGAGAGACTAGTCTAAATGTATGAGAATCAGGAAAAAGTAACTTCCTTTTGTCCTCACTAGCATGCCAGTCATATTCCCGGTTCTTAACTATTGATGGTGTACCATCAGGTTGGTGTCAGCTCTTAGGGACCACATAGATAGCCCTTGTCCAGGTTGATCTGTCCCAACCTGGCCCTTCTGGTCTTTCAGTGATGCATTTATTTAAGCTGTAGTTGAGTCTGCCTTCCTTGTTGCTGGTCATCCTCTTCTTCTCTTCACTTCCACTTTTCCCAGAATTATGGACTTCTCAAGAGAGCTAGGTCTTTGCATAATGTGTCCAAAATATGGTAATTTGAGCCTAGTCATTTAAGACTTGAGTGAGACTTTGGTTAATTTGTTCTATGCTCCACTCGTTTGTTTCCTTGGCTACCATGGTATTCTCAAGAGCCTTCAAACCACATTCAAAAGAGTCAATATTCTTTCTATTCTGCTTCTTCAAAGCCCAACTTTCACTTTCATAGAGTGTCACAGGAAAAAACCATTACCTGCATGATTAATCTTGTAGGTATGCACGTATCACAACATCTAAATATCTTTTCTAAGGCCTTTGTTGCTGCCCTATCAAGTGCTAAACTGTGGGGTGAATTGACTGCTTGTTTCTTTACTGTTGACAGTCAATCCTAAAAGGCAGAACCTACCCATCATTTCAGTGTCTTCATTGTCAGATTCTAAAGTTGGTTGGTATACCTCTTAGTTTGGTCTTTGTATTTAATCGTCATCCCAATTTTTCACTGTGTGCCTTGACTTCCATTACTACCTGATTCTTGCAAATCATTTGCATTATCAGGTATCAGTGTAGTGTCATCAGCAAAGCACAGGTTGTTGATGTTTCTTCCTCCAGTTTTAAAACCACACCCATCTTCCAATCTAGCCTCCTTCAGTATATATTCAGCAGGTAGGTTGAACAAATCAGGAAAGAACATACAACCTTGTCTCACTCTTGCCAACCTGGAATCAGTCTGTTTCACCACGTTCTGTCTGGACTGCGGCTTCTTCTCCTGTGTATAGGTTTTGCACGAGGACCATGACATGTTCTGGCATTCCCATTTTCTAAGGATATTGCACAGCTTGATATGGTCACCCAGTCATTCTGTAGTCAATGAAGCACACTTTCACTTCTTTTTTGTATTCTTTGGCTTCCCAGCATGCATCAGCAACATCTCTTGTTCCTTGACCTTTTCCAAAACCAGTTTGAACATCTAGTATTTCCCTTTCCTTGTAGGGCTGTAATTGGCACTGGGTTATCCTAAGCATTATTTTACTAGCGTGTGCAATTAAGGATATTGTGTGATAGTTTGCACAC